GCCTGCACCCACTACCCCCAAGGAGCCTGCACCCACTACCCCCAAGAAGCCTGAACTCACTACCCCCAAGAAGCCTGAACTCACTACTCCCAAGAAGCCTGAACCCACTACCCCTAAGAAGCCTGCTCCAACTACTCCTGAGACACCTCCTCCAACCACTTCAGAGGTCTCTACTCCAGCTACCACCATGGAGCCTCCCACTAGCACCGAGAGCCCCGATGAATCAACTCCTGAGTTTTCTGTAGAACCCACAACTAAGACTCCTGCATTGACTAACCCTGAAATGCCTACAACAGCTAAAGACAAAACAGAAAAAGACATACGTACTACACCTGAAACTACAACTGCTGCACTTAAGATGACAAAGGAGACAACAGAAAAAACTACCGAATCCAAAATAACAAGTACGAACACACAGGTAACATCTACCACAACTCAAGATACCACACCATTCAAAATTACTACTCTTAGAGCAACTACTCTTGCACCCAAAGTAACTACTACAACAAAAAAGACAATTGCTACAACTGAGATTATGAACACACCTGAACAAACAGCTAACCCAAAAGATACAGCTACTAATTCTAAAGCGACAACTCCTAAACCTCAAAAGCCAAAAGGCACCCAAGAAAACCTCAAAGCACCCAAAAAGCCCACTTCTACCAAAAAGCCCACTTCTACCAAAAAGCCAAAAACAACACCTAGAGTGAGAAAACCGAAGACGACACCAACTCCCCACAAGATGACATCAACAATGCCAGAATTGAACCCTACCACAACAGTGGCAGAAGCCATGATCCAAACCACCACCAGGCCTAACCAAACTCCAGACTCCAGACTAGTTGAAGTAAATCCAAAGAATGAAGGTGCAAATGGTGCTGACGGAGAAACACCTCACATGATTTTCAGGCCCCATGTGTTCACGCCTATAGTTGTTCCAGGCGTGGATTACTTACTGCGAGTACCCAATCAAGGCATTTTCATCAATCCCATGCTTTCAGGTATTAAGAATCAGTTATTTTCATTTTAAAGCTGGTAATGTTAGTTTACATCTATCTGAACCAGAATGCCTTAGTTACCACTCAACTGAGATACGTTACCTGACCTTGTTAACTTGTGAAGTTTTACAGCTTCCCTGTAGATAAGCAGAGGCGTAACCATAGTAAGCTCATTCATTATCTAGAAAATAGAGTAATAATTTAGGGTTAGGAATTTAGCACGTGTCTGTGAGCAGCAGATGGTATATAGAAGGTCAAAAAAATTTAGTTGGGAGTCTATTCTTAGAAGTACAATGCAAAGCCAAAGTTTGTAGTATTATTTTCCAAACTAACCCAATAAGAGGGCAATTAGAACTGAAAGATGCAATTTTACACTCAGTTCATACATCCAATAAATGTCTAGTTTACATGAAGATCAAGGCAACCTGGCCCATTCCCATTCATAAATTATTTCATATAACACTTATCATCTTTAAGTAAAATTATCAAGTATGTAACGATGCAAACACCTCAAACTGTGTCCTTAAAGATCTTAGAAAAGGTAAACAGGAAATAGAATCCTGTGAAAAAACTTGAAAAGAACATGCATACTTTTCTCATTTTGTCCTATTTCTGTTTTGTTAATTTGTTTAGATGAGACCAATATATGCAATGGTAAGCCAGTAGATGGACTGACTACTTTGCGCAATGGGACATTAGTTGCTTTCCGAGGTGAGCTGGGTACACATTTTTCTTCTCATCATTCTGTTTTGGCATTTATGAGAACCAAAGCCATGGAAGAGTGCTAGTTTGGGTTGTTTTCTGGAGGGGAATCCGACTAGTAAACAAACCCCACAGGAGAATCTGAAGGTAATAACAGAAATACTGGATTAAGAAAATTAGACAAAGTAACAAAACAAAACCAAGACCCTAAACTGAAACTACTGAGGTTTTTTCCTACTGTTAAGCTTTAAAAGGCAGTTCAAATATTTTTTTTTGGGGGGGGAGGGTAGTTCAAATTTTAATTTCATATCAAATGAAATGACACCAGCATGTGTACTTGTTGCTTTATTGGAAAATAACATCTCAATTGTGATGTGTTCAAAAGTGTTACACTCTCTGTGGGAGAGTAAGAAGTTATTTCATGTTAATTCTCTGCCGTACACTCTGCTAGTCCAGTCTTAATACATATTTAGATTAAATCTGAAAACAATTTACACTTGTACAGTAGAGGCTAAAGAAATGTTAGTCATTAAATTATAATTCCTTAGTTCTAAAAGAAAGAAATTGAGATCTAGAGAGATAAGTAACTGGAAGTCACAAAGCCAAAAGGCTCATTTTTGAGATGGTCTCCCTCTGTCACCCACACTGGAGTACAGTGGCACAATAACAGCTCAATGCAGACTCAATCTCCTGGGCCCAAGCTATCCTCCTGTCTCAGCCACCTGATTAGCTGGGACTACAGGCATGTGCCACCATGCCTGGCTAATTTTTGTATTTTTTTTTTTTAAGAGACAGGGTTTTGCTATGTTGCCCATGCTGAAACTCCTGGGCCCAAGCTATCCACCTGCCTTGACCTCCCAAAGTGCTAGGATTACAGGTGTGAGCTACTGCACCTGGCCCAACCTATGGGGTCTTTGTAAAGAAACTAGAAAACTAAAATATCTTTAAGGTTGTGCTAAATTTCAGACTTGGGAAATACCTGCTCTCAGAAATGTTCAAATACTACCTTTTGCATCTGACTAAACTTCTAGTCACAAAATAAGTTATGTTTTTCTTTATGAAAACATTTTTTTTTTTCATTTTGGTTTCTTTTGTGTTAGGTTTTAGCATTCAACTTGCAGGCTGATGTCTTTCCTTAAATTTTAGGTCACTATTTCTGGATGCTAAGTCCATTCAGTCCACCATCTCCAGCTCGCAGAATTACTGAAGTTTGGGGTATTCCTTCCCCTATTGATACTGTTTTTACTAGGTGCAACTGTGAAGGAAAAACTTTCTTCTTTAAGGTAACACAAATATCTTCATGAGAGAAATTTAATTATAATTTCTAACTGCATTATTACAATATTAATCACCTTAACCTCCAATATAAATGTCCCCGTTTTTAAATAAACTACTCTGTCATCAAAATGTAATCATAATTCAACGCAATTTGATAACATTAATGGTCAACATTCAACCCATGTACTAGGTTAACATGTTCTATAGTGGAATCTAGAAATGAGTTCCTAATCTTTTTTTTTCCCCAAAGTTGCTAACACCATTTACCCCTTTAAATTCTCAGGATTCTCAGTACTGGCGTTTTACCAATGATATAAAAGATGCAGGGTATCCCAAACCAATTGTAAAAGGATTTAGAGGACTAACTGGACAAATAGTGGCAGCGCTTTCAATAGCTAAATACAAAAACCGGCCTGAATCTGTGTATTTTTTCAAGAGAGGTATGTTACATAACTGAGATCACAAAACTTTCAAAGAATTATACTCAGTATTTTCATTTATTATTGGGTTTATTGTCAAAAGTTATCTTTAATGGGTGGAATCAAATATTTTCAGTGAAAAAAAAATAAAAATTGAGGGTAGTATTCTTATGGCCCTCAATTTTTATTGAGTCTTCTTGACAGGCAAATCACAATTCATTTGAGTTTTCAGGTCACAGATAGAAAGTCATCATTTACTTTCACTTCACAAATGTGTATGTTATCTTTGCTCAGGGACCATGCTAATCACTGCATCATTCTAACTTTAGCATATGTGCTACCAAAGTGAGCTCTTGTCACTTTCAGTTGAAATTAAAAAATATAACTGTGTAATCTGCTGCATTTATTCAGTCAACAAATATTTCAGGGCTTAATAATTATTTTTATAATATTCTTGACTAATAGCCATCATTAACATTGGCATATTATATGAAAAATAAGAACAAAATGGACTGCTTCTTATGCAATGTAAAAGTTCTTTTCCACCTTTTCTGACGGGATTCATATTAATTTTCATTTTCCATGTGATATTCTAATACATAACAGGTGGCAACATTCAGAAGTATATTTATAAACAGGAACCTGTACAGAAGTGCCCTGGAAGAAGGCCTGCTCTAAATTATCCAGTGTACGGAGAAACGACACAGGTTAGGAGACGTCGCCTTGAACGTGCTATTGGACCTTCTCAAACACACACCATCAGAATTCACTATTCACCTGTCAGACTGCCTTATCAAGACAAAGGTAACATTTTTATTGTGTTAAAAAATCTTTAAACATAAAGTAGATGTAATACAGTTTCTTATACAGTAAGGCTTATGAAATATATATACTGATCAAACAGCCCTAATAATTTAGGTTTACTGATGAAAAACTCATCCACTTGCCTTAGTGAATAACAAAGACCAATGCTTTTTTTTCCTTGTGGGTAAGGAAAGCAGTTTATTCAGGTTTGTTAGTTATAACCAATACTATTTATCAAGTATTTCTTAACAAGAACATTATATACCAATCTACAACCCTCAATAGTTGTACATCAGAGGGTAAAATCAGATTAAAACTCAGAACTGTCTGGCTGTTTCCAAGACAGTGCATTGCCTTTTAATCTGGTATTTTGTTTATTAAACTTGTCAGCTACAGATTTCCTTCATAATGAAGTTAAAGTGAGTACACTGTGGAGAGGACTTCCAAATATGGTTACTTCAGCTATAGCACTGCCTAATATCAGAAAACCTGACGGCTATGATTACTATGCCTTTTCTAAAGGTAAGTTATTAACTAATAGCTTCCCAAGGAGGCGGTATCATTTGTGAAAATATGAAGATAAAGTAAATATGCTGGCTGCAATGATGACTGAATGTGAAAAGTTACACTATGATACTTATTCTAATTGCTATGGAAAAGAGCTAAGACTTTTGCTTTCATTTCAATTAAACTGAATGGCATTGCAATTCAATTCTGCTCTAAACTTCATGAGGTTACAATAAAATATCCAATTACTAAACTTGCTACTGATGATAGTATTTTATTTCAGTCATTTGTGGCATTTAACAGATAACCTTGTTGCAAACAAGGTCATACTGATTTGCATCATTACAAAGTCTGTAAGATCAGAAAGAAGTTCCTGAGAAACTAATTTTATTAATTAAATTATATTACTCAGGATGCTCTTCTTTGAAATGCCCAGAAATCTAAGTTATTCCGCCTGTAATTCTATAATATGAATGACATCAGCAGGTATTTTTTTAAAAAAACCCAAGTAAATTATTTTTTCAAATTTGGTTACTATTAAATGCTCACTTAATTAAGGAGAGTTGAACCTGATTTTACAAAAAGATGGTGAAAGGTCAATCTTTTGAAACGTCAAAAAAGCTGAAAGGTTGAAAAGTCAAGGAAATTATTTTTCTTTTTGTTAGAAAGTTCAAATTAATGAGTAAAAACATCTCTATTCAAATGATAAATACTGTCAGAGCGTTAACAGTCAACACAGTTATTTTTTAGTTTGGGCACTGTTTTCAACTAAAAAAATGTTTTCTTTTCAATTTAGATCAATACTATAACATGGATGTGCCTAGTAGAACAGCAAGAGCAATAACTACTCGTTCTGGGCAGACGCTATCCAAAGTTTGGTACAACTGTCCTTAGACTGATGAGACAAGGAGGAGTCAACTAATGAAGAAAAGAATAATAAATTTTGACACTGAAAAACATTTTATTAATAAAGAATATTGAGACAAGTATACCAATTTAAATATAAAAATGTTTTTAAACTTGACAATCATTACACTAACAGATTTGACAATCTTATTCACAGTTGTTATTGTTTACAGACCATTTAATTAATATTTCCTCTATTTATTCCTCCTCTCCCTCCCATTGCATGGCTCACACCTGTAAAAGAAAAAAAAAAAAATAGAATCAAATTGAATACATCTTTTAAGAATTCAAACCTAGTGTATTCACTTACTCTAGTTCATTATAAAGAATATGTAGGCATTGTGGATATAAAACTATTGGGTATTCCACAACTTCAAAGGAAATTATTACAAGCAGATTAATATTTTTGTGACATGTGGACAATTTTAACAGTTACACTGGAAAACATGGACATACTAAAATTTTACATTTTTACTAGCTAAAACATAATCACAAAGCTTTATCCTGTTATATAAAAAAATTTAACAATATAATGACAATAGGTAGAGATACAACAAATGAATATAACGCTGTAACACTTTATATTTTCCAAATCTTAATTTGGAAGGATATGTAAAATCTTAATTTGGAAGGATATATTTAAAATATAATTTTATAATTTACAAATTAATTCTATAATTTTGGAAGGATATTAAAATCTTAATTTGGAAGGACATGTATAAAATATAACACTTTATATTTTCCAAATCTTAACATCTAAGGAAGAAATCAATATAAAATATAAGCATATACTTATTATATACCTAAGGTATACAAATCTGTCTACATGAAGTTTACAGATGGGTAAATTATCACTTACTCAACATGTTATTTAATAAAACCTTGGAACATAAAAAAAAAAGTAAATTGGAGGCTTAAGGATTAGAAAACTTGTTCCATTTATTACACTCCCACATTCTATCATGTAATCCAATTATGTTAGAAATTCACCTCTCTGTCTGTTAAACTGACGACCACGGACACCTTGTCTCAATGTTGTCTGAAGTCTTACTCGTCTGAAAGGCTTTGGTTGACTACTACTAGTATCTACAAAAAACAGTAAGATGAAAGAAAAGGAAGTGAAAAATGAGAAAGCATTTATAATGATGCAAACTAATTACTAAATGAATGCATGAATAAGATGCAGACTTGTCCATTTGCTTTCAATATTTCTTTCTTTTTTTAAACAACGAGGAACATTTAACAAACCAAAATGGCTCAACAACAACAACAATAAAAGCAGCACTCTGGGAGGCTAAGATGGGAGGATCACTTGAGCTCAGAAGTCGGAGACAAGCCTGGGCAACACAGCGTGACCCTATTTTTACAAAATCATAAAGCAATTAGCTGGGCATGGCAAAACATGCTTACAGTCCCAGTTAGGAGGCTGAGGCTAGAGGATCACTTGAGCCCAGGTGAGGTTGAGGCTGCAGTGAGCCATGATCAAGCCACTGTACTCCAGTCTGAGAAACAGGCAAGATACTGCCTCAGAAAAAAACAGAAGCACTTGACTGTTTTCATTTCTTCACTTATATTAATAAATATTTACTTCTTCACTCCTCGTGTATCAAGCATAGTGCCAGGTGCTGAGAAATACAATAGAAAACAAAATATCAAGTCCCTCAGCAATAGCCTACAATAGAACACAAATTATATCTGATTCTTCTTTTTCAGACACCCCGAATGCAACCATTAGCAAATCCTGAATGCTCAAATTTAAATATATATCCCAAATCTGACTACTTCTCACAACCCCAACTCTACCATTCACCTAAGCCACCACTATCTTTTCCTGAATTACTCCAATAGCCTCCAAAGTTTGTCCTTGTTTCTGCCCACTATTCATTTCCAATCCCTTCTGTACATAGCAGCCAAACTGATCAGATAATGTCAGGTCATTATTTGCGTGAAGCCTTCCAATAGCTCCCGGTATCCATGAGAGAGCCAAGGCAATTACAATGATGTGTTTGATCTATCCTCTCCCGCCCCTAACATATCTCCTGCTAGTCTCTGTTCTCATTCACTCTGCTCCAGGCACAGGGCCTCCTTGTTGACCCTGAACACAAGCAGACACCTGCTGCTTTATAGACTTGACATCTATTAATATTTTCTTCGATCCAGTATGCTATTTATTAAATAACTGCCCAGCTTTGATCCCTTTCTTCTTTTAGGTCGTTACTTAAATGTCACCTTCTCTTAGTGATGCTTACTATGAAACTGCCTGCTACGTTATCAAGTATTTGTTGACCAAATGAATAACTACTTGGAAGTACATTTTACATTATCAAATAAATTTAAAGACATCTTAATTTCATCTTATACTTTCAAAGGGACCAACAACCGTATTTTCTCATGAAAGTTCTGATAAGATATAGTAAGTGCCAATTTTCTTGAGGGAAGCCAATTTTTATGGGACATCAAAATATAACTGGGGGCACAAAAGCTCAGTAATTATTAATATGATAGTTATAAATTTTTGAGCCTTACTGCCTATGAAATGGTTCTATAATTTACATACATTATTTTAAATCCTGATTGCAAGATTAGTTATGAGTATCTATATTACATAAATGTACAGAAATTTAAAGTTACCAGATATGAAAAGGTAGATATTAGATCTGAACTTAGGGAGGCTAGCCAACAGGTTGATGTGTCACATCAAAGCAGCTGAGAGGCAGGGGAAGAGATCTTGGGATAGCAAAGTTCTGTGATTTTAAAAAAGTAATAAATAACTGAGCAGGTGTGCCATAAAATCTGAAGGTTCTAGGGCAGAGTTTGAGAATTACCACTGTAAACCATTCAAAATTAAAATAATCAGAGTGAATGACCAACTACTGTAAATCCTTAATAATAAACATAATTCTCTGTCTAAAAATCTGAGATAGATAAGCTAGCACATTGTATTGTTTAAGAGTGGAGTCTCTGGAGCCAGACTTCTTCAGTGTAATTGTTGCTTGTCCGTTACTTATTAGCTATTTCATTTTGAAGAGGTTATTCACCCTTTCTGTGCCTGAGCCTCCACATCTATAGAATGTGGATGAATATCTATCACATTGAGTTGTGAAAATCAAATGAGTATATATAGGTAAAGGGCTCA